ATATAACAACCCTCAAATTTGCATACAAACATCCGAATGAATAATTTTCGCTCTTTGTAACTAAAGCAATACTTTAGTTAATTTAATTCAAATTACTAAAAAGGACAGAATTTTCCTTAAATTATCCCAAACCTTTGCAAAAAGAATTACTTGATAGCAAATCCTTCAGAAAGATTATTTCTTGGCAGAATAAGCTAGATAAAATGCTTATTACAGCGATTTAACGTCCGTATCAAATAAGTAAGTTATTAAACTTTTTGTACTTCACTAAATCAGTATCACTTTATAATGAATTGAAAATTGTTTGAAGATAATACTGCAGTAGCTTAAAATAGCTTTAGCTAAATGAAAATTAGTACTTTTCATTTCGAGTAATATTCGACCTTGACTGTTTATTTAAGTCTGTAGTAACCTTTGACTTTTAATTAAATAAAATTATTCAAGCTTGTAATAACCTTTGACTGTTAATAAAATTAAAAGAAATTAGAATTCCCTCTAAAATTTTGCATTTATTCAATTAATTATTTATTTATTTTTTACTTGGTTATTTAATTTATTTATTTAACAATTAAATTAATTTTTTACTCATCTATTTACTAGTGAAAATTATGCGAAATATTAGCAAAATTTAGATATTCAAAAAAATCTTTTTTTTTAATTCGAAAATGATGTTCAAACTTGCTGTTACTATTATTATAGTTATTATCATTAATACTTTTATAATTAGTTTTCTTAATTAAAAACTGAAACGAACTCAACTTTTTGTGTATATAATGCCGAATTAATTTTCGATGTTTATTAAATATTATTTAATTAATAAGAATCTGAACTCTAAAGAAAATTATCAACGTTTTTGCTGAAAATAATAGTTTTAAAAAGTAATTTGCTTACAAGTAATTAATGAACATGCAATTATTATAAAAGTATACTAATTAATTATTCCTCACGTTCAATATTATTATTATTTTTTAATCTAAAAATGCTTGCATGCATTTTGCATGAAAGTAACCGAGCACATTTATGCAAATTAATTAGTACATAATTCATGTTTGAATTTTAATTTCTTTTTTGCAATAGTTTTAGATTTAAAAGCGATGCATAAATTATTATTTAACCTTTTATAGCAAGCAAAAACTACGTTTACAAATACGCCTAAAAAT